TTGCTCTTCACTGTTTGCCCTGCGAGTCTATGAACGTTTCTCCCATTTTTCTCGTAAATTAATGCATTTCTGCCATTTACGTTGTTTGTATTAATACTATTGCTCGGTTATGTGATTGTCTGCACTTTTGCCATCTCTCACTCTCGCCCCATTGCTATCGTTTGGTTCATGTTTGTTGTTAGTCCGAGCGATGATGATATTTTCCACTGTTTTCGTTTCGTTAAACGTTTTTAGCTCAAACTATGGTTTTCCATTGAAGTAGCTGGCCCCAGCCAAAAATTAATCCCAAATGATCTTTGTGTCTAGTAATTACTTAGGTTTAGATAGATGTGCAGATATTTTTCAGCTCTGTTACTCTATCTCTTCCATATCCACATTTTAGCCTGTTGGTGGTATACTTCGATTCAATCTCGACCACGCTTTTTCTATGACCGTAATATGAGCGGAATGACATCTCAAACTTATCAAGTTTGAAAGAAATTTATCGCTTTCCTGAGACTGCATTGCAAGTATGTACAACATGAATAACCGTTACATCCATATCCATTTTGGGTTTTCAGTGAGCGTGCACGTAAAATGTTTATTAGAAATCGTTTTCCATTAATCGACTTAAAATGGGATAAAAATATCCAACGCTCACACAGAATTACACACTCGCACACACTAATTGCATGTGGTAATATAATGGAGAAACTTTCGTTTCGACATTCGTTTTAATTATTAATGATAACTTTTATTTCTATAAATCGGTAAGCATAGCCATCCAGAGGCATCAAAAACCACTAGAGACACGTTGAAAATTGGCTCCTCCGCATATTCAGAACAACTTGCATGCAGAGGAAAAGAGAAAAAAAGAGGGAGGCAGGAAGGAGAGAGATTGGCGATAAATCGCCATGGATAAATACTAGAATGTCGATTGGTAAGCGAAGCAAAAAAAACGTAATCACACTATGTGGCTTATATATTTGTCAAAAACTTGAGCAAATCTTCTGAACTTCTACGCCATCGCAAGCAAGCAAAAAGTAGTCAACCTTGGTTGTAATGCGTTAGGTCGGAAATCACGCGATTCAAGTGAGTCGTGAGAGCACATGAAAAAAAAACCAAAACCAAGTTATTCTATGCAAAGTAAGAAGGATACGGTGAGTTTTATGAGTTGGAGCGACTTTTGTTTTGCACTCAGAGCTCAACGAACTTGAATTTTGGCCGTGCAATCGAACACCACGGAATTTATCGGAAAATGTCAATTCTTATTTACAGTATTTATACAAGATGTGATTTGCGTACCATAAATAATAATGCCGTGCATAAAGTGTGTCTGTGCTTCGTCTGACATAGTTTCAATTTTTATTAAATTATCTCAGCTATAAATCCGGAATTCGTGACATTAAACAAAATCCGTCTTACGCTTGATGTTTTCCGTTCTATTTCTCCCATTCCTCTCGTTGCCACCGCTCACCGGAGGAAGAAATCTGCTTCGGTTGTACTGCGCTCTATTCGTTGCCATCGTTCGAGCTTTGCTCTCAAAACTTTTCTGCTCATTTTTGCTGTTTCCGTCTTTTTTTATATTTTTAAATCGATTTTTTTCCATTGCCTTTTTAGCAGATTTGACGATTCGAACGAAAGTTGATGCAAAAACTACGCTCTTGGATTTGGCTAGAGGGAGAAGAGAAAGTGAGTGTTGAGGAAAAAAGATGATGCTGAGCAAGAAAAAAATTATGTAGAAAAAAAGAGAAGAGTGAATGAGCGAGCGAGAGAGGTATATCGAAATTGTGTATGGAACGAAATAATGCGCGAAGCATGAATAACTGGCTAACGATTTTCAAGTATGTATTGTTCTCACACGTTTGCCAGCAAATATTAATATTATACACATTGCGAAGAAAAAAGAGAGAATATATTCCCCGGAGACGCTGAGTTCGCTTTACCACTTTCAAGTGTTTCAAGCATATTTGTGCTGAGCGCATCAGCAATTTTCCCATTTTCAAACAGCAATAAAAAGCTTTGTTTTTGTTTTCGATCTGATCTGAAAATGTGAAGAAGCATCAATGTGGAAACGTCGAAATGCGCGAGATGTTGCGTGTGCACCGTGAATTGGATACAAACATTTCGCTGGCGGCCATTGAGTAGCACGGATAGATAGAAGGAGATTGAGTGAGAGAGAGAGAGAGAGGGCACGCGCTTGTGTTCGTTGATATTCGGGATTCCCATCCATTTCTCACTAATTCGTAATTCGCCAAGCGATATTCCATTTTTTCTCTCGCTCTTTTTTCGTTCATCTTTACAATCTCGTCGTTGCCACACTCGATTTATGACAAGTTCATAATTATCTCTACTTCTTTTTATTCTTCTTTTCTCGGGCGAAGAAAATTTTTAATTGAAAAATTGATACTCTCTCTCTCTCTCTCTCTCTCTCTCTCTCTCTCTCTCTCTTTCTCTATTTCTCAATTTCTCAATCTCTTGAGATGTAGACAGGATTAAAATCGGCTAGCGGCAATCGCGGATATTACTGACAAATATTGTCCCTACGCTCATAGATCCATCACAAATCTTTTTCGCTTGCCTTGACGATGTGTGTGTGTGTGTGTGTCGAGCGGCACATACACCCACTGATACATCGACGGATGATCAGAAGAAAAACTTCTGTTCTTCGATTAACTTTCAATAAAAGTTACTCACGAGAAAAGTTTCAATCGTTATCCGGTTAACAAAATATATACTCTAACCAATTTCAATATCATGGATGAGCTATATGATAAAAGTCAAGACAAATTGAGTTTAAAACCACATTACGCACCAATCATTTTCGTTGGAATGAACGTTGTGGTTTCCTTACCTTTCGTAACATAAAAAAGAGATAAATTATTATCCAGGAGAAAAAATGGTTGTACAAACATAGTCATAAATCATACATATGACTATAATGCGATGCATATATCTGTCAATCACACCGCAAATATGGGCCTATGTGTATGTGTATTTGCACTGCGTAAACAAAATTACTTCCATGAAATCGACCAAATGTTCAGTTTTTCAATCATTTGTTGGTTCGAGTGGGTGAAATATTTGGAAGTTTTTCACTTCAGTTAGTCTTAATTGGCTAGGTATTTTCACATTCCGTTGAACAATGATTCAAAGATCAATCATTATGTCTACATTCTCCACTATTGAGTTTTAGAATATCTAGAGTATATTAGTTTTAGATAGTTATTTCATTGTGAGATTTTGATCTCAAATTGAAATATACCCACAAAGATGTTTTCGGCAAGGCATCGCTATTGGTGTGTACCTGTACTGTACTCTGTAAATTTATGTATATATACATTGCACTATAGTACAATAAGCTACTTCCATATTGGTAATGAATCCAGATTCTATGGCTATTGTATTGAATATTACTGGCTAATGGTATCATTGAATCGACACCAATGATCAAAATAATTGCTGATTCCGATTCAATTATTTTCGTAAACAAATAGTACAAATAATTTCCGAAAATGTGATGGAGCGAGTCGATCGATTTGCTCAAATAATGAAAAATATGTTCGCCCATACAAAATGCTAAAAACCTATAGTGTATGACGCTAATTGAATCAACTTTGAACTTTTTCCATTCATTCAACAAAACCCCAAATTATTGTTGATGAATTGAGTTTCTCCTTTGTTTTTTTGTTTGGTTTGATTGGGTCAATCTCGTTGTGGCATTTTGTTTCATTTGATTCTCTTCTGACTGAGTACATACAGAAATTAGTTGTAAAATGCAAACAGAATAACACAAAAGATTTTCGATTCCGTTTCTTGTTTTTCCGTTTTCGCTGTAAGATAGAAATAAAAACGAACCGAGAAGAGAGAGAGAGAGAGAGAGAGAGAGAGAGAGAGAGGGAGAGAGGGAGGGAGAAAAAAAACTGATTTCACAAAACTAAACTATATTGTGGATCTTGGAATGGAAACGATTTTCTTGCGACTTTGGACAAGAAAATTTGTTGTTCAAACAAGTAAGCGTTTTGCAACCGTCTTGTTTGAACGGTTTTTCCGAATGGCCACCGAAAACCAACAAAAGAGAGAAAGTACAAAAGAAGCCGAAGAAGAGAAAGAATGAAATAACCACGTCGAATGGAAAATAAATGACGACTTCGATGCAAAACAGAAATTGAAATTGCATTTTATTTCAACTGTTGTAGTCGTTGTTGTACAATTTGTAATCGCACAGTAACGAGTTTCATTGGCTGATACAGTTGTATTTGTTTTTCCATAAGTCCGGGGTCCACTGTCTTGTTGTTCTTGAGCTTGTCGTTTCGTTCACTCATTCTCTCTCCTTCTCTCCTCTTCTACTTCGGTTTTTGTCTTCGACTGCGATATTTGTTGTTGTTATGAATTTCGGGCCATGGATAAAAATGTGCATCAAAATAATAACAATAATAAAGGAAAGAGGAAAATAAAGCAATAGCAGAAACAGAGCGAGAGCCACACAATAAATAGATCTTGAGTTGGCAGGATTCGTTTGGCTTTGTTTTTAGTCGCTGGATCGTGATTTTGATCGGATTTTTGCCAAGCGAATGTATATCCTATTCATCGTTATTTCTGATTTCACTTATTTATTTATACTTTTATTCCAGTGTTTTAGTTGAATATTCGGTTTTTGTCCATATTGTTTTTACACAAAAACAATAGCGTTCGTTCGTTCAGTTTTCGTTTCATTTTTTCGGCTTTTCCTCTTTTGACTCGTCGAGCATGAAGCGTAGCGGCGACGACAGAGACGGCAATGAGGATAGCAACAGCAACAGTAGTGTAGTACCCACCAAATAACGAAGAAATCTGCCATGATTTATGGCATTTTCTCTTGTCTACTATAGCCAAATAATTACAATGTTCGACTCGTCTTTTTTTTTCTATCTTGTGTTCATTGCGTTTCTGTTGCCCATTTCGCAGAGTTCGATGGAAAATATTATCGTACTTGGTGTTGGCTGATGAGGTAAAATGAACGAAACCACTGGTGTTCAATGTATGATTGCTCTTATTTTGTGATTCAAGTTTATTTGATTTACAGCATATAAAATCAATGAGATACAGGCTAAACATTCAATGTTCAAAATTCGAACTGAAGAAGGAAATTTTATTGAATAATCAAGTTTCTATCGAAATCGGCAATCATTTTTTCTCAGCAAATGTGTGTGTGTGTGTGTTTGTATGTGTGGTTTTTCTTGTAATAATTGTTGTTGGTATCTTTGAAAATCGTAAATCGTGACTGTCGGATCCGTGCTACTCTCTGTTCTTCAGCAGAGCTCCAGTGTTGCAAAACTTTTCAATTCAAACAATTTAAATTAAATTAAACGTTATAATACGAATCGATTGAGTTATTCATGATAATTCATCAAATGGCTTAACGTGCTAAATGTTGGTATTTTTATGTTCTTTTTATCTCGTTCTTGTTTTTCGTTTGTTCCATGAAAATTGAATCTGGCTGGTTGGATTTTGTTTTTCTTTCGTTGTGTTGTCGCTCAAGTTTGGCTGGATGAACGACTTCGTTGTGGCTTTAAATCATTATTTTCCTCATTATCGGAATGTTGAACTCCCGAAACCGGTTCACTCGCTTCACTTTTCGTGAATAGCTCATCATCCTTTTCGATTTTGATGCTGACGACTGTAATAGACAAGATTTATCATTGAATTCGATTGAGTGTTTGTAAAATAGGTTTCATTTGTTTTTTTTTCTTCAAATGCTTACTTTTTTTCGAGTCGCTTTCATCATTGGTATCGGCATCATCATCGTCATCATCTTCGTTGGTACTATCATCGTGCTCCTTCCCATGGTTCAGCGATTCATCGTTGCGCTTGTTGACTGACGACTTAAAATTGTTGTGATAGTAGTCATCATTGTCCTCCGTATGATTGTTGGCCGAACTTTGTTCAAGCAACGAATTATTTTGAGCGCTATCATTATGCGAATCGTAGAATGGTTGCAGTGCTTCAGTCGCCGCTTCGAAGCGATTTACAATTTCCGCCATCTCCTCGTTAACCTCAGCACGTCGTTTTTCAATTTGTTCTAAACGCACCAACGCGAAACAGCGCCAAAGAAAGAGAGAGAGAGAGAGAGAGAGAGAGAGAGAGAAAAAAAAAAAATTAAAGTTACCAACAAAAAAAAATCGACATGAGAAAAATGTTTGAAATCAACAGAATCCTAAACGAACATGCACATGCACACCACCGCGTAGGCTAATTCATTTCGAGTCACAATCTGTTGTGGTATGGATTGGATGTCGCAATTAGATGATTTATGAATGCAGCACGGCGCATTTATTAGTAATAAATTCGAAATTCGTGGACCAACCGAGCTACAATTTAAAATTTAAATCAAACGAGTTGATTACGAGCCCCACGGAAAATGTGGTTTGCGATTAAACTAATAATCATGTTTCAATTTCCCAATTCGCACATATTGAATTAAAATTTTGAAATGAAATGAAGAGCCGAAAAAGAGCGCGCAAATATGCGAGCGAATGATAATGCGCAGTGATTGCGATATCGCTCTCAGTATCTCATAGGATAACTGAACGAGATAATTCAGCTGGCTGAGATGACGCAGCGACGCATCACCTGAGTCTGTGCGATACACATACACACAATGCGCCCAGCGGTATCCTTATACACTCAGTCCCATTTAGTGACGCGCGGCATCGAATTGTGTGTGTGTGTGTGTGTGTGTGTATCACAAAGACTCGGGCGATAGACTTGGGTGATGCGTCGCTGCGTCATCTCAGCCAGCTGAATTATCTCGTTCAGTTATCCTATGAGATGCTGAGAGCGATATCGCAAACACTGATAATGCGAGAGAACGAATGCGAGTACATCGGCATTAAAACCGGAGACGAGAAAAATGGGCAGAAGTGAGGAGAGCGAAAATCGGCGGCAAAAAAGCCAGCATCAGCTACAATTGCATTTCATTAAATTTGTATATAATTGTTATGTTTGCGCATGTATAGGTTTACGTTTGATAGAATGCCCAAATGGAATATGCACAATTTTATTTGCAATAACCATCCGCAACTGGATGCCGGTGCATTTTGCATGCAAACAGCCGACGATCGGTACGTTGGTCAAGCGGCTGTTTGTTAACTCCCTCAAATAGATACGCCATTTTCGGCAAGCGTAGACAACAACACATTGCCACTGAACAATGCAACACGCGAAATGAATGAATAAACAACAAAATTGCACTGAGTATAGTCGTGCAAATGAAACTATTTGCAAATGTGCGGATCGTTGCAAATGATGCACATGATTATCTATCTACATCATCGTTTATGTAGATAATGTAAAATGGCATTTCATTCATTGGCCTGCACATTGCTCAACAGCTAAGTGTTTTTTATTATTTACATATTTGGCCGATTGTCTGTTTTGGTGTTTCGCGTATCGGGGATGCGCTTTTTTGTGCGCTTTCATTTCACAGCAGGCGTTAGAAAATCGGCCCGGATCGACGAGAGAAAGGTGTGCGTGGTAGTGGCTAGTGTCATCGGGTATGGAGCGTTTTCGTTTTGGAATATAATTCGAATAATTCACCGCTCCAATCGAATTGGGGATATTCACGAGTTGCTGGCAAGGCGCTCTTTGCAAATGCATTGTGTTTATATTGCACATGCAAGCGAGGCACACGGCATATATGCACAGCTGCGTATTTTCACAACCATGTACGGTGCAAGTGAATATGGTGTTGTTTGCTAATTAAATGAAAAGTTCCCCAAAAAAGAGAGAGAGAGAGAGAGAGAGAGAGAGAGAGAGAGAGAGAGAGCGAGTGTGAGCTAATTTCTCCAAAATGCAAATTGAGCATCTATTTTAAAATATTCAGATTCAGTAGATATGAAGCCGTTGGCTGTGAGCAGTGTTCCAATGTCAATTTTTTTTCGCTATCCTTGACACATTGTTCATGGTGGAGCTGCTGTTCGTGCGTATGAATATGCACATGAAGAATAGCCCGATTATATATCAAATTTCCGAGGATGAGAACAAAAATGTGCCGTACGACGCAAACACATACTCAACGAAGCAGTGGGGTACATTGTTTTCTGCTCGCGACTATCTGTCAATTCGTCAAAAAGTAATATGTTTGTACTTGTTCGGAATGCGGTTCGCTATTATGAAACCGAGCGTTCGCTAAATATTGACTCAACAATTGCAAACTCAGTCAAATTCATGACCTGTTTTATTGCGAAAATATGTTCGAATATTTAATTGAAATTGGAGAATATTTGTCGTTGCCAAAAGTTCTAAATATTTTGAGCATCGCTCATATCATGTGCGCTACATTGAAAAACCGCTACTTACTGTCCTCTGTTCTCGACGCTCGGCATCGATATACATTTTACATACAGTAGCTGTGCGGTGTGAATGCAATTTAATATTCAACGTTTCGCAGTGAATAAACAAAATGGAAAATCGACCCAAAAAAAAGATAATGTCATTCGCTCCATCTCATTAAGAGTTGATTTACGATCAACGTATTTCGTGTGGCTGTATCTAACACTTTACATTCCATACATCCAACAATTTGTCCCGAAAATCCCATCGGCCACACATACACAACATACACGCGCCCACACCAATGTGAACGACGCGGGTATAAATCGCTCCCACAAAATTGTGTCACTTACTTTCAATATCACGTTTGCATTCTTCCAACTTGCGTTCGGTTCGTTTGTCCAAAACCTTTGGAAGATAGTAGATGCGTGGCTTGGTTTTTGTTCGAATGAAATTCATGAGCGGCTTCTTCGATTCTTCCCATGTTCCAAACTCTTTCATCAAATTCATTTTACTCTCCAACATTTTGATTTCCATTTGTTGTCGCTTTCGATTGTTGTACAGATTTTGTCGCTCTTTTTTCATGATTTCACGCTCTTGATTCTGTTGATCTTCCAGTTTCTTTTCGATTTGTGCCTTTTTCTGTTCCTTTTGCTTGAGACGCGACTCTTCCTGGCAAAATTTCTGCAATGTACCCAACAACGAGCCAAACATTCGACGATTACGAGCCCGACTGGCCGGATCACTGCCCTGCGCTTCAACAATTTCTTCTTTGGTCGGCAGCTCACGAATTATGCGCGAATTCAATTTCGGTTTGACATCATCGTCCCGACCACCACTAGCCGGCGGTCCCGACAAACGGCTGAACACTGACTTTGTTTCCGGTTTACGTTTAGCCGGCGGTGAAACATCTCTGTCTCTATCCCGATCACGATCTCTATCGCGTGTGTTTAATCGATTTCTTGAGTCCAATTGTGAACCGTATTCATTACGGTCTCGGTCGGAACGTCTATCTAGTGGACGCTTACGGTCACCTCTAAACAATATGTCCATTGAACCAACGAAGAATAAAAAAAACATGTGTTTGCAAATCACAAAATGATAAAAGAGCAAAATGTTACAAATTTATGTGAGCATTGTGAAAAAAACGAAACAAAAATCGCATTCGATGAACTAACCTCAATTGATCGGGTGGCTCTCGGCCACTGATTCGCCTAATATTGTCATTCAAACCTTTTAGAGTTGATTTTGCTTTGTCCAGCTCCTCTTGCAGCACATCAAAACTAACGTTTATCACCTCGGTGCCCATTGTTTCAGATAAATTGACCGTTGCCAACTGTCGCAAATCACTTTGATGCACTTTTGTTTATAGTTTGAATGGTAAAATAATGTAATGTTCCCCCACAAAAAGAAATGCTTCAATGAATGGGAAATATTATGTCAATAATCCATTGAAATAAAACCTGAACATAAATACCCGACAATGGGTGTGAAGTGAGTTGCGATTGCAACGCTTCCATAATGTGATTCACATGAAGTAATGTCAGTTGAATGTGTTTGCTTTACCGGCATATTATATTTGTTCCACATTTTGCCGCATTCTTTGTACTTTTCGCATTTTCAAATAAAAATATCGCATTTAATTTATAAATCAAATCAATTTTTTCGCCAATATCTTTTATGTTGATTGAATAAAATGAAAGCGCTAACTTTGGCTAGTGAAGCTCGCGGTGAAAAGAGTAATGGGCGTCGTCATCGAATGTTTATTGTGAATGAGCCAACAGGGTACGTCATTTTGGGATTTAAATGCGGTATACTCATGTGTCAGATACTGTCGAAAAACGTGTGAATAGCATAAACGCTTGCAAAAGTACGATAACCACAGAGCCACGAACCGTGTTCGTATTGTTTTGACTATAATTAGTTGTTTTTTTTCTTCTTTATAGTCTTTACTAACGAGTATTAGAAAGATGGGTGATAGTGTTGATAACAATACAGCCGCAGAGACTGCAATCGATGCACTCAAACTAGAGGAGAAGGATGATTTTGTTGATCCATGGAATGTAGAAAGTCAATCTGATACCGGCATTGATTATGACAAATTGATACGTAAGCATTTTCATACACAATTAACTACCCTCTGTTAACTATTTGGCTTGACACTGTGGAACATTCATCATAATTGAATTACAAATTTGTTCATTTTGTATACAATTACAGACCGTTTTGGGAGCACAAAATTGGATGATGCAATCATCCAAAGATTTGAGCAAGTGATTGGCAAACCCGTTCATCATTTTATCCGTCGTGGGATATTCTTTTCACACCGTGATTTGCACACAATTTTAAGATTAAAAGAAGAAGGGAAACCGTTCTATTTGTACACGGGACGAGGACCGTCTTCGGGTTCATTGCATTTAGGTCATTTGATCCCCTTCCTTCTCACAAAGTAATTTCACTTCATTTCTTGAGTTCTTTTAAAAAAAAATCATTTCAAACCAGTAAATACACACAGATAACATAATATCTGTTCCAAAGCGTTCCCAATTAGCTGCACCTAGTTCCAATTTGTGACTCATTCACCACGAACAATTCGTAATCTCTTTGAATTTTTGGTCAGTATTTCTACGAATTTTTCTTGGAAAATGAATCACAAATTCGAAACAGTAGCTGCAGCTTATTAGGAGATAACGCTTAGGAACAGACATTATGTTAGCTGTGTATATTCGCTGGGATGAATTACTAATTTTGATTGCATTTGCAGATGGTTGCAGGAAACATTGAATGTGCCTCTTGTTATCCAGTTGACTGACGATGAGAAAACATTATGGAAAGACTTAAAAATTGAAGAAGCAATGAAATTGGCGAGAGAAAATGCCAAAGATATCATTGCCGTTGGCTTTGACGTCAATAAAACATTTATCTTTTCCGATTTGGACTTTGTGGGGTATGTCAAAACCATTTATTTGCTATGAAGAAAAAAAAACGGCCGTATTTACAGAATTTCCCATTTTTTTTGTTTTTAATTTCAGGAAATGTCCAGCCTTCTACCAGAATATGATTCGCATCCAAAAGTGTGTAACATTCAATCAAGTGAAGGGCATATTTGGATTTGGTGATTCGGATCCCATTGGCAAGATTGCATTTCCGGCGGTTCAAGCGGCTCCAGCATTTTCATCCACGTTTCCATTCATTTTCGGCGATAAAAAGATGCATTGCTTGATTCCATGCGCAATCGATCAAGATCCATATTTCCGGATGACAAGAGATGTGGCACCGCGTCTTGGTTTCCCGAAACCAGCTCTTATTCACTCGACATTTTTCCCGGCATTGCAAGGTGCCAAAACGAAAATGTCGGCCAGTGATAACAATTCAGCAGTATTTTTAACCGATACGCCGAAACAAATTAAAACCAAGGTAAATGGGCACCATCAGAATAATGTTCATAGAAAAACTTTTTTCAAATCATTCGTCTATCTTTAATCGTTTCATCTTCATTAACTAAACCTGAAATTGAACCTGAAAATATTTCCTTTTTTTTTGCTCAACAGATCAACAAGCATGCATTCTCTGGCGGTCAACAAACCGTCGAAGAGCATCGAGCCAAGGGTGGCAATACAAATGTCGACGTATCATTTCAACTGTTGCAATTCTTTTTGCCCGATGACGATGAATTGGAGCGGATTCGCGTCGCATACACAAAAGGTGAAATGCTGAGCGGTGAACTCAAAGCGAAAGCAATAGAAACGTTGCAACCAATTGTAGCCGAGCATCAGGCAAATCGTAAATTGGCTACCGACGATGTGCTCGACCAATTTATGGCGCTCAGACAATTGAAATTCGATTAACGAATCAAAACAAATTTATGATCGATTGTAATAAAAATCCTATTTATTATAAAATTAGTTCCTTTTTTTCTACATCTTACAATTAAACTAATTTTGCATTGTCACAATGCAGCACTGGCCTCATTCAAATTGCATTTCGATTACTGGTGAATGGTTTGACAGAACAAAATATTAAGAATAAAACGAATGATTCACGTAAACATGAGTTGAATTTCACATTTGGAAGACGAAAAGAGAACGAATTGAGAATATATTCTCGTTTCCTGTCTTGCCTTTGTTTCGAGTCCATCAACATTAGCAACCGTTTTCAATTGGACAATAAAACCGATTAGTGTGCTTTGCATACACGCATTGAATGTTCGCTCTCCTCGGATGTTTGTTCGGCTGTAACAATAACATTTCGAAAAAGTGAAAAATGAAAACTCCTAATTTTATTTGTTCAAACCAAATAAAATTGAATGCACTGGATGAATGTAAATGCAAGAGAAAGAGAGAGAGAGAGAAAAATTGGATTGAGTAATGTTTGTCGATTTTCTTTCGCCCTCAAAATGTAATATTTAATAAAATATCATATAATCAGTGTACGATATGGAACTGCGTTCAATGCAACGACGACGACGACACTATCGATGATGAACGAACCAAAAAGGGAAGAAAACAATGCAACAAACGAGAAAAAAATGAAGAAGAAAAAAAAACAGTGTCAACAGTAGTAAGTAGCGAGAGTGTGCCAGCTTTTGTTTTCCTTTCAGGTCTTTTGTTTCTTCGTTTCTCTATTTCATTTTTCTTGGGATTTGATATATATTCTTTTATTTGTTATCCATGCGTCCGTCGGTCGACCGCGGTGTTATTTTTGTTTTTGTTTATGTTTTTCGGTTTTGTTGGCGACAAATGAAATTGCATTGTTATTTATTTCTTGTACTTCCGTGTGGTGACACTTTCGCTGGCGATACATCAAAAACGCACGAAACTATTGAGAAATCGAACAAAAACAGCAGCCAATTTGATCAAAAATTTCGTTTTCTTCTTTTACGCCTACCACAAAACTTATCTTCTACTATCAATATTCATTTCTTTGAATTGTAAAAGATCGCACACGTTAAACATTCCTGCAAATGTCCAAAATGATGAATATTCCTCATAAACTGAAACTGTACACAAACGTCGCGTGTTCTAATGAACACCGATAACAACAGAAAACAACAACAAAAAAACCAAGTATTTTTCTTTCTGTTGTTGACAACATTACAGAAATTTCTTGAATTTATTATATGAATAACAAATTTATCGATACGACACTTTGGAATCGACGACGTTTGCGTTCGATGAAAAACGAAATTGGATCGAAGCGACAGCGAATCGAATGAAAACAATCGAACAATAAAACATTTTTGAATCTGTAATGAAACTGAAGAAAAGGTGAGCAAATAGCCGGTTGAATATAGCGAGCGAGAAGAGGAGAGAAAAAAGAGTGAGTGAGTGAGTGAGAGAAGGGATAGAGAGAAGAAAAAATGATTCATGAAAAACACTTGTGTTGACACAACGCCAAAATACACATTACCCTATTCAATTATTATTATTTTCTAGGGAATGTGTTGAAATCTACGTTAATCGCTTTTCGAAGAGAGCGAGTGCCCGATTTTCGCGACCAACCTTCAATCTCAATGCTTCGGTATATAAAGATTTCAATCAAATTATTGCTCTAAACATTTGCTTGTTTGTTTTGCTCATTCTCATTAATGTGACCATTATTGATATTTTATCATCATTTTTCTTTCTTCTTTCGAAATTCCACATCGATTGCGAACATTCGATGTGTTTTTCTGCATTTCCATGAAATGAATTTCCAATAATAATTGAATCCATCCTATCAACCGTTGATCGCGATCGACGTTCTCTCACTCTTGACGATTCGTTGGAGCGCTCGGTCGATCATGTGCGCGCGTGCGCTCGCACATACACCTGATCGTATTCTTGAAACACAACGTAACGGTGGGTAGGACAAAGAATTGCCCTGATACAGTTTTTCAAAATAAGAGAATCTTATTGGTTCATAATGATGAACGTTACTCAACGGCCGAATACACGCTCAATCGTGTTTCACATCCGTGCAGCGAGATGAAAAACAGATGTGGCGGGCTGCCACTAAAGCACATACGCACACACACAGTCATCATCACTCACCGAGACAGAGACGCTGTCGAATCGACAGGTTGGTGGTAGATGAACATACAGTATCAAGATAAACGAAACAGAAACGGATGACGAAAAGACACAAACAGTAGAAAGAAAGAAAAGAAAGAAAAGAAAAAACAGCATACAGAATATTGAGAGTGTGAAACTCATTTGAAATAAAATTTCGAAAGAAAAAAAATGAAACCATTTCACAAAGTTCCATCGACAGAAACATACAAAGCTGCAACAAGTGTGCGCGCGACAAACAATTAAACAATTCCCTTCGAATCAATAGTAACAGTTTTGAAAATAGTGCGAAGTTAAATATTGACAGCAATCGAATTCGTCGATTCTGATTTGTGAGCTGATTGAGACAATTTTGATTGTACGTTTAAGTGAACGGCATTTTTTTTTTCCATTTGTACAATTGAATGTTGTGTGGTCACACGTGAACTTGTCGTTTTTTTTTTCGAAGGGAAAAATAAATCAATTCGCTTCAATGACCAGTACAATTCATCATCCGGTTGCAATACCATCGCGTGGTTTGATCATTTGTGAAATGGAAGAAGAGTCGAACGAACCGAAAACGATTCTTGAAATTGGCGGAGTTAGTCGGCCTAAACCAACGTACATTCTACCACCGCCACGAGCACATGCATTGCCACCGGCAATAAATAATCAACCGTATTTAAGCCATTGGAAGGCTCAACATGACATTGTGTCGCCACCATATCCAGCTTTCACGGAATTCCAAGAACAACGAATCGTTCGCATATCAAATACCAACTGGACCGGACACACCGATAAAATATCCGTCTCCGGAACATCAGCATTTACAATTACAGGTTACATTTTTACACATCCTTTCAATTCAGCCATGTTTTTTTTATTCAAACATGATGAATTTCGTGCGGGTCTTCCCTCTGTTCACACTTTCGATGACGTGTTTCGTATCAATCGAATATGTTTTGAATGAATTCTCATACAAAATATTCGGTGTTCTTTGAACACTGCTCAAGTTATCGAAGACTGATTCATTTTTGTTTTGTTCATTTTTACTGTGTCACAGAAACTGCCTCTGAAAATTATAGCCCGAGAGCATTGAAAAATCCACATATTGCATCGTCACTGCAATCAACATCACCGTATCAGAAGAATGAGCCAATCGTTGACTCGATCGGTAAAAATGGACTTTGTTGTTTAAAAATCCAAGTAGACATTGACTTTACCGTTTGGTTCAACATTTTCAGAATATAAAAAAACCGCTTGTGATCGAGAGCGAACGAGAATGCGTGACATGAATCGAGCCTTTGATTTACTGCGTGCTAAATTGCCAATTTCGAAGCCGTCTGGAAAAAAGTATTCAAAAATCGAATGTCTTAGGTGAGTTATTCATTGATGAGAATTTGATTCAAAATGATCGCGTGCGAACGGGTTTGGTCATCGACTAAAGTTTTTGTCTCTTTTTTTCAGAATTGCAATCAGCTACATTCGTCACTTGCAAAGCACATTGGAATATACACAGGATCCGAATCAAGAGCCAATAGCCACATACGAGAGCAATTATCCAGATTTGCATGCGCACGTATGGAAAACGCACGGCCATGTTCAACAGCATTTATCGGCACCATCCAACAATTATTATACATCCTAAAAAAAATACAATCGACTCTGTCAATCATTTCATACGACTCTTTTCTAAAAAACCAAAATAAAAAGAATATTTCGATTCTTCCAAAGAATAAAACGATCATTTTCGAAGTTTTTCCGTTTGAAGTGCACGAAATTACGTATCTTATCTTAAGCTCTTGTCGATGCAAAAGTTCTCTTATTAGAGCTTTCAAGTGAGTGCAGCGAAAAAAAATGCGTAAAATGTTTCCATTGGAAAAATACACTAAAAAGACTGGTTTGCTCAAACGTGGCGAGATTGAGGAATCGATGCATTTTGTTTGAATGTAAACAGCGACAGTCTGGACAATGTGCAACATGTTTTTAGTATTTTGAATTCTTATTTTCAGTTCATTCAAACTGGACTTATCGTATAAGGATTGAGGAGAAGAAAAAAAAAGATGGAAATCAAACAGCGCCATCTGTTGGGCTGCTTTAATAAAATTCCGCTTTATTGAGGCGATAATTCCGCGCCCAACTTTTGTTTGGCTAGTGCTGCCATTGTGTGCACGAATGTCAAGGGCCATTATGGCATCGGGAAACACTTTTTCAATGCTATGTGAATAGTTCCAATAGCATCGCACAGAAAATGTGTGAATGATACAATACACAATATGAAAGAAAAACAACATACAACCAATCCCAACACAATGACAGCTACCGAAATGCTGAACCGCTCCGAATATACATTCAGTAGATGTGCGACACTCGTCGAATAAACACAATATTTCCTTTCTGTTGACTGACTCAAACATATACATCGGCGCACAAATTAAAATTGCCAGAAGAAAGAGAAAGAAAAAAATCAAACGTATAATCTATATATATATATATATATAAAGAAGAAAATATTGTGATCAATGTAAAAATTATTGTGCGAATCGAGGCATAGAAATGGGAAAGAGGCCAAAATCAGCATCGTCTCCCTGAATTCCGACTATTGAAACGCAATCAATACAGAACCATTTTATTGAATCGAAATCGTGAATACGATGTCAAAGTGTGATAAATAACAATATTTATGGCAAGAGCAAGAATGAGAACGAGAGACAGAGCGAGAGATATAAATAAGTGCGTGCATAAAAAAGATTCATCTGTGCAACAAACACACAAACATTGAAGCGAGTAAGATAGAGAGAGAGTGTGAAAGAAAGAAAAAAAAAACGTATTGTGAACCAGTGATCTGAGCGGCTGATTGATATCCTTGTCGCCGATTTCCAATTAAAAAGATGAATTTTCGGTTTTGTTGTTATTTAAAATAAATGTTCCATTTCTACACACTTTATCATCAACATCTCTGTGGCTCGCTTCTTCTCATTTTTTTTTTTGGGCAATTGTTCGCATTGGCTGGCGTAGAGTGAGCGTGTGTCGTTGATGCGCGAGTAAAAGTGGATGTGAGTGTGTCTATGTATGTATGTGTGTAACAAAGAGCATAAACGAAACGGGTGCGCGAGTTTGATTACATTTGCTTCTTCTTTTTCAATATTTTCTCTGTGTTTTTTTTTCACTCCTTCGTTTATTGTCGTATACATATTCATGTACTTGTGTGTACATGGCAATGCGTTTTGTGTCGTTGGCTCTTAATTCTCAATTAGATTTCATATTGCTATAAATCTGAACCGTGTTGAATAAAAAAAAAAACGAAACGAACAAGAGAACTAAAGGTGAAAAGCAAAAAACAAAATTAGAGCTGCACTGATTCACAGCAGAAGTTCGATACCACAAAAGAAATAGCTTAAAAGCAAAAAATCAAAAACAACATTTCATGTTTGTTTGTGCGTGTTTTCTGATGGCAGCGGACATTTATTTGCAACACTCTGCTCGTAATCACAAAAATGTGTGTCTGATCGAAGCTGGCCAAGAGCATCGTACGCGCGCACACAAACAAACACAAATGCAAGCAATCTGATTACGTTGTGGCTGAAATGAAAAATGACATGAAATCATACACACTCACACACACAATATAGCACACTGTAAACAACAACCCCTGCCCGAAATAGAAAAAATAAACAAACACGCACACACAGTGTGTGCTGAAGAACCTGGACACTACAGTGTGTGTGACAGAGTGAGTGAGTTAGAGACAGAGGGAGAGTGAAACAAAGTATCATCAAAAGTAGTGGTAATAATTGTGAACGACTATAGTTAACATACAGTACTAGTGTGATATTATTTGCTGATTGCATTGGTAGTTTGCGCGTTGCGTCGTGCAATGCCAATTAAAGAGAACGCATAAGCCAAAGGCGAAAAACAGCAGAAAGAGAAAGAGAGTGAAGAGAAAAGAAGAAAAAATAAAAACACACACACACACAAGACATTGCCAACATTGACACCAAACGAGAGTAAAATGCTACATTGCAATCGAGAACGGTGGACGTCGATTTAAAAGTTCATTCTTGAATTTCGCTGACAGTGCATCATCTACGGAAAGTACTGCTACAGAGAGAGAGAGAGAGAGAGAGAGAGAGAGAGAGAAACCAGCTGAGCAACAATACACACCCACACAAACATCACGGGTGAAAGAGAAAGATAGAGAGAAAATAAAATTAATAAAAGAAAAACGCAAACTCAATCGAAATCAATCGGAATCGACATGACATAGTGTGAAATCTTTTATCTCACCCGTCTACAAAAATAAATGCTGTCCTTTTGTGTGTGCAATATTATATCACATTATCGTTGTCATCAACAATATCACATACAATTCGATTTCGATCCGAGCAATTTGTGATCTGTGCAATCGTAACACAAAAATTTGTAAAGAGTTGTTTGTTATCAACATTCGGTCGGAATATGTTGTGTTCTATGTGTGTTGTTTTATCTACATTTAGATCATCAATGCAAAAAAACAACACGAAATAACATTGACTAAAAAAGTAAAGAAAAAAAATTAATTAACAATAAACAAACGAAGAAATCTTGGAAACAAAACAAAAACCAAGTAACCAAAGTTTGAAATAAAAAAAAAAAAAAGAATTCATCAACAACAACTAAAAAAAATGTCGAAGGTATTAGCAGAGAAACCGACACGGTTGGAGCGTCTAACCAACATGAATAAACCAGTTCCAATGAAATTGTTCGCTGCGTGGGAAGTGGATAGGACACCATCAGATTGTATACCAAGGTGAGCAAAAAAAACATTAAATCTCTCTTTTCTCGTGTTTGTCATGTGTTCACTTCAATTCATATTCGAAAATGCATTTCGATACCGCCACCGCCGTTGCGTCGTGCTAAAATGTGTCGCGTTCGGCCATATACATAGCAAAAGGTTGATTCGAATTATTTCCGGAATTTTTAACCGGAATTGCACCTCAATACAGTACAGCACATACAAAGCATTCAAAATCATCCACATGTATTTTGTTTTTGGATTTGCATTTGGCTAACAGCAATTCTATCGAATTCGGATTTAAATTTTTTTATTTGCCGAATGAACGAACGTGATTTCAACAATGAAAACATATATCGTAAAGCAATACACAACAACGAAAAAAAAAACCAAATGTATATAAACAATACATCCGTCTCCCGTACACAGCAACGATAAATGTACGTGCCCGTCATTTGTGTTCTTGCACGTACTTGCGTGAACATAATGCCCATCAATTCGACGAAGCACATATAGTAGTCTCTCGAAATATGTGAATGAATGTGTAAAAATGTGTTCGAAGTATAATTTCATTGAGCTAAACTAATTTCATGTAGTAAACCATAAATTCTTTCCTCTTCTTCTTGCTTCTTTCTTCTCATTTTTCTTCGTCAAGTGCCAAATAGCCAATTCGCGCTAGCGTTTGGTGTACTTTCGTCTCACACGGTTGCAAAGAGACCAAATATAATCCAAATATCCAACTTGTTTCTTTCGTATGAATGTTTATGAAATTGAAATTAATAATGTTTATCCGTTCAACGGATCTGTGCCTATAGATTTTCGCCCGAGCAAATAAAAACACGACACAATTTCAATTGTTGATCGTAAATTATTAAATATTTTTTTTGTGAATAAATAAATACACTCTCTATTATTATAGTTTATTAATAATTTTGATAAAAAATGCATAGGCTTTACTACTTCGATTGCCCACCAATTTTAATTCATGCCGTGTTTCACAACATTTGTTCATTTGTTCGGGCAGCCCATTAATTACATCCGCACATTGAATTGTCCGTTGTTTATAACTCATTCATATTCAAAATTATCTCAATAAATGTGATTGAATTGGTTCATAAATGAGTAAATGGAGCTATATTTCGACTGTTTCGAATTTATTATTGTTCTGGCGGCGACCAATATTCCACCACACATCAAAAATATCAACGCAATAAATTCGCCGTCGTAATATGATTTGGGGAAGCGGTTTTGGTTATTGTACTTTGTACACAATTCTAATTTGTGCTCTATAGGCCACATACACAAACATATACAGTTATTGCGAAAATTCATTTGAACCGCAAATTTGACGAATGAATGTGAATAATAAATGATTAGCTTGTTGCTAGCAGCAACTACACACACATCACATGTATTGCCGATGACGATGATTATTCCGGGAGATTGTGATCAATTTATGTCTCTCACTCTCATCTGTGTGTTGTTGTGTGATGCATCTCAATCGTTTGTCAGTGTCTCAAGACCGTAAACTGTCACTCTCTATATATATGTATCATTCGCAAAATTCCAATTTTCTCAAATTAAACCCATCATCAAATTGGTTGTGTTACTATGGAACTCACTGCTTCACATTCCAAAACCGAAAACCACGAAGTGAGGAGTAGCATTTTCAAAATGATTCAAAAAAAGTCACTTCACTACTCCACTCGTTCCGTTTGATGCGACCCATTAGAGAATTCGTTAAAATGTAATGTTTATGTTGTCGCCCGAATGTTTCATGCAAAATATTTGATTGAAACGGGAAATTATGTAAGTTCTTGGCTTCCATCCATAAGTAGTCGTTTTATCGTGAATTGCATCGCCCAACATCTCAACCTCTTGAATCGACACTAAGTTTAATTGAGTCGTTTGTCGGTTTTCCGACGCTTTTGAAAACAAAATATTAACAGTGTTCGCGTAATATGCCACATGTTGAAACGTATCACATGAAACAAGCAAAGAAAAGAAAACCTCTACCAAGATTCCACATGTAAAATACTCCTTTGCCCTGTTGAGTGGTCTTTTGACTCATTCAAATGGTTTCTAATGCCTGCTCCGTGAGCGAACAATACGCTACGTAGGCAATTACATTCATAATGATTTCTATTCGAATTGTACATGCGAGTCTTCATATTTAATGCGGTTCAAATGTGATACGTGTAACAGGCGACTCGCTAGAGATTAATTTTCAATGTCATCGGTGTCGTTGGCTTTTCAACATTCTTTTCTCTTTCATTTGGATTTTTTTCCGTCGTTTTTTTTTATTTTGTCCGATCGGTTCGATTTTCGTTATGTCAATTGCAATTTGGTCAAGTGGTTTAATCGCATTTAAAGCTAATTGAAATAAATTGAGATCCAATTCGGACAAAATAATTAATTGAAACGCCAAATCACATGTAATTCGTGTATATACTGGCCAGTATATTTGATAAGCAATTTCAGAAAGTTTCATTGAGATCCCGAACGAATTCCAAATGATTCTCTCTCTCTCTCAATGGATTGGCCTCCGGGCACTGTTGGATTGATTTCAATTCCAAAAGTAGAACATATCGTCATGTCGAAATGATACGTTTGAGTTTGAGTCATGAACGCAATCAACAGCCATTATTTAGACACGACGATGTATTCTAATTCTGAATAGAAAATAAATAGAAAAAAAGAAGAGAAAAGGAAAAGAGAAATGGTCGGAATAGATTGGTTAACTGAACTGGCAATTTTATCGTTTCATTTGAATGCTTCGAATTCACTTGAAGTTTAATGTGTTTTGTGTTCCATATTTCAAATGCAATTAAAATAAAAGATTTGGTGCTAGAGAATGAGAGAGAGAGTTTCTTTTCTTCGTTTTTTGCACGTCGAATCAGAAGGTTTCATTCGTGCACTCAAGGAAGCACATAATGAATGATTATACCATAATTTGTTTACAGCTCAGCAATAAACTTGGAGTTTTAATCGTTTGGCATGAATTAAAGACTGTGGTTTTTCTGTGAACTAGACTCGGCATACACAGCACATATTGCATATTTGCGAGCGGTTTGTTGAAAGCTGAAAATAATTCGTTTACATACATACGTATGTGAGCACGATATTGATTAACCTGTAACATCTGAGTGAAATTTTGCAATAAAAATCAAACCAATAAAAATCTAATTCGATTCTTTTTTTTGTTCTTTTCGAGAAGGCTTTGTATTTCTTCGTTCGTTTTCTCGTTGCTTCTTTCCATTTTATTTTCTCAGAAATTCGATTCGATAATTTCACCAGAAGCCTTGCTTTCTTTGATTTTCTGCTGTTGCTTTTGTTGCCCCGCTGTTATTATTGTAGAATGTGTGCCGTGGCGAACGCGGACTCAAACTAGCATTAAAACACAAAAATTATATACAAATAAATCGATGCATACATGAGCGCGATTCGGCTCCGATAGCTTAATGAACAAGGTTAAAGTGTTCGTGCCGAAACGAATTTTCCAATGCACTTTTTTCACTCTTCTCGATTGTTGTTGTTGTTGTTGGTTCAGTTTTTCTCCCTCTTTCATTTTCTCGCTCACTCTTTTTTTTCATTTTTATTTTGTCGACAGTGCAAACAGTTTTGTGATATTGTACAACTGGTGCGCGCGTACGGGCCGTCAGGAAAAAAAAACTAGAACGGACCAAATGAACGTATAGTAAAACAAGACCTACTTTTTAAGGGTTATGATGGCGAATGCGCCAGCAGGTGGCAGCTACGTTAAGAACACTCGCAATCTGTTACTATTATTATTGTTATTATATTTTGATTCTCTTTTCTCGTCTATTTTCGATTCGACGAATTTATTCACAAAAGCAATAACAACAACAAAAACGACAACAGCACCGATTCCATGTACACGATAGTCTGGAAATTGAATTTAGTACGAACCAATGAATAAGGTACACAATAAATGAAGTTTGCCAAATATTTCCAATAAATAGTTTGTCAACGAACGAGAATACTTTTACTTTTGCACTGAAAATTCCGTTGATTCTTCGTGAGTTTCGAACAATTTAATTGATGATTTGGCGTGTTATGTGATTGTCGTCGTTGCTGTCGACAAATTCCATTGCGTTGACTCAAGCCGAAACACGATCGTATTCTTCATGCAATTGAATTCAGCTTTTCTTTGTCCCATCGACTTTTGGGTCATTCAACTCATTTCCGCGTTTATCTTGATACGGTGATTCATTGATGAGAAAACTTTGTTGGGCATTGTTTTGGGTATGTCGTCGTAATTTGAATTTTTTGATTGTTGTCGATAATACATGTTTCATAAGTACTGCCGTAGGAATTTTGTATACGATAAACGGTGGGGATTTTTTCTCTTCGAACAAGTCATCAATTGTGAAAAATGTAAAAAACGATAGCCGATTTTATGTGTTATCATCGTCTGTTGCTGGAAATGCCTTATCGTACCGACACATTTCTTCTTTTTTTCGTTTATCACCTTCTCGTTAGTTTTTGTTTGCCCGCTTGAAAGTGCACAAATGGGTACTTGCATCATTGACTTGAAAGGAAGTTCAAAGAACGCGTTTTGGAATTTTTTCTTCCGTTCCATATTTTTTTCGGTTGTCTATTAGATAGAACTCGCGCAACATGGTAGCGCATTCGGAAACCACCTTATCATTTTAAATGAAGCTTAATTTTTCATGCTGTCGGCTTTCATTTTTGGGTTTTAGTCGTGTTGCTTACCCAAATGAAATATAGCGTTATGATCCGGTGTATTTTCGTTTTTATTTTCTCCATTTCTCTGCATCGAAATTGAATTGCGGCACTGGTGTGTGTATTTTTATAACACACACACATTTCTCCATTCACGCAGTTGCATATTTGTCGAGTTTTCAAATCGTTTGAGCTGCAAAAGGCAGAACAAAAAAGGAGATCGAAAGAAAGAATGAAAGAATCGAAGGAATGAATAGTCTAATGCGTGCTTTTCTTCGTGAGAAACATAACAGCTGTTCAATGGTTGA